TCAAAGCCGAAGAGCCAGCGCTGTCCGAAGATGCCTCCATGGTCATGTGGCCGGCATGACTCAACGCCAAAGGCACACAGAATGCTGTTCCCTTCCCATCAAAGGTGGTCCCTATTTTTCTACTTGCATTTTTTTTACGTGCTTTCGAACTGCTAGGTTGGCAGAAGCTGGGACAAGTCACGGGAGCTCACCCCGTTACGCGGCACTAGGGATTCGAACCGCTGAACTGCTGACCTTTCGATTGACAAGCTTAGCATCTTAGCCACTGAGCCACCACATCCCACATGGGTTCTAGCCCTGCCGTAACTATAGAGTCCGTTGGGTGACTTTGGCCCGATCCTTCTCTCTCAAGCCCTAGGAACGGTGGCAAAGACCTTCCAAAAACCTTGCCAAGAAAACGGCATGGTTGAAAGGATCAAGAGTGTTATGAAGCAAGCTGGAGGTGAAGGTTGGGCACGGGTCCATTTAAATGGGCTTCGATCAAAAATTACAACCCCGGCAGACCCCCATTACAAGGCCTTCAAAACTACAATGGAGGGACGGACTCTGGAAAAAAAGATCTGACTTTTCTGTTCACCGGTTGGCTCATCCCTAGCAGCAAACTCACCTCCCAAATAAAGGAGAATATTTGTAGCTCAGGGTTGAAACGAGGGGACCTTGAGGCTCTGTGAGCTTGGGGGTTTTCTTGCAGATGTTTCATGACCCAAGCTAGGTAAGATCATCAGTGCTGGAAGAGAGTGGGGTTTGTAGAGAGAGAGGAGGAGAAGGAGCAGCAGGAGCAGCAGGAGGAGGAGGAGGAGGAGGAGGAGGAGGAGGAGGAGGAAGAGGAGGAAAAGGAGGAGGATTGTGGGATCCTTGGTGCTCTCTGAGCTTGGCTTTTTTCTTACAGACATTTCATTACCCAAACTAGGTAATATCAGTGATGTTACCAAGTAGGTAACATCTGATTACCTACTGATGATGTTACCAAGTAGGGTCATGAAACATCTGCAAACTCAGAGATGAAAACTCAGAGATGAAACTCAGAGATGAAACTCAGAGAGCATCACGGATCCCACAGTCATTGTCCTCCTCCTCCTCTTCCTCCCCCTCCCCCTCCCCCCTCCTCCTCCTCCCTTCTAGCACTGATGATGTTACCTAGTTGGGTCATGAAACATCTGCAAGGAAACCACCAAATTCCGAGAGCACCAAGGACCCTTCAACCTCCCAAACCTTCAAGAATAAAGCAGGCAGCACCAAAATGAAGGAAGGAAGGAAGGCAGCATTTTCAGTGGCGCCAATGACCGTTCACGTTTGAACATTATCACCAGCTCTTTGCCGTCAACCCAGCCATGAGCAAGCATCTCCAGTGACAAGAACAGCAGTTATGAACGAGTCTCAATTAAAAGAAGTAACATACACAGATCGCTTTTCAGCGTACCCTACATCTGCATCCAAAATCACCTCAAACACCCCATGCCACCATGAATAAAATTTGGGCTCAGGAGAAGAAGACAGATAGTAAGAGGGTGATTCAGAGTAATAACAGGCAAGCGAAGCCATCTGGATTTGCATCAAACTAGCAGTTTTCTGTGTCTACATCAGGAGGAGGAGGAGGGGAGGAGGAGGAGGAGGAGGAGGAGGAGGAGGAGGAGGAGGAAGCAAAGTATATGCACGGCACTAGAACAGATTCACTTAATGATAGCAATGTGGATTCTTCTCCAGCTGCAGAAGTAGATACCTCTTGGGAACACTAAGAGTGTTCTTTCCTTAGGGAATGCTACCAACCCATATTAAATTAAGTGGAACGGTGGAATAATCCCTGTTCTATATGGGTTCTCCCAAGGATCAAAAGTAAAAAAAAAACCTCAATTTACTTAGCTTGGCACTATCTGCTCCAAGATTGGAGAACACGTGGTCCTCCAGATGTTGCTGGAATAACAACCTCTAGTAGACACGAGTGGTCAACACTGAAGAATGCTAGGAGTCTCTGGAGGCCCACATATAGCCGATGCCTCAACGACGTATTCCAGTTCACTAACTAGCAGAAGACATTCTCCAGCCTAGGTATCTCAAGACGTTGGGTGCTCCATCAGCATCCTCACTGATAACCTTTCCTTTCCTCTGGAACATGGTCTTATTTGGGCATTGAAATGTTCCCTTCAAGAGACGGTTATGACCATTTCCATTAGTCCAATCGCTTGGGCAACCTTCATCATAGCCCTTAGTTATAGCTTCAAACTCTCATGTTCTCGAGCCCAAGCAGAATCTGTTGACTTGTTCCACTTTCAGACTATCTCAATTTGCACCGGTCATTGGAGCTTTCTAGATCGGGGGTCATCAACCTTTTGAACCACTAAATTCATAATTTTAAATCCCGCGGACCACTAATATGATTTTTTTAAAAAAAAGATAAATAGTATTTAGTGCAATATAAAAATGCAAATAATTTTTCTGCGGACCACCAAAATGTTCTCGTGGTTGGCGACCATGGCTCTAGACATCCCTACTGGAGCAGAGATGGTCAACTGGAGGGGACGGTGCTGTCTTTTCCTCATCTGGGGCCTGCCAAATGTTGATTAACATGGAGGAAAGATGGAGGAGCCTGCTCATTGTAGAGGGTCCATGCTACACGAATCTCAAGAGATGCTAAAACAGTGTTTCTCAACCTTGGAAGCTTGAAGATGGGTGGACTTCAACTCCCAGAATCCCCCAGCCAGCGCTGCTACTGGGAATTGAAGTCCACCCATCTTCAAGCTACCAAGGTTGAGAAACACTGTGCTAAAAGATCAGCCTTCCCCCCTGCAGGTTTGGACCTTCAGCTGCCTCTGACCACCACTCTGGACCAACCATTTCACCCATACACATCCCAGCATGAGCCAAAATACAAACAGCCCATCACTCCTCCAACCAGAGGAACAGATCTGGCTCTTTCAAGACTGAGCTCCATTTCAATCCGCCGTGGAAAGGCCACCGTTGTCCCCAAATGCCCTTTGTTACCAGCCCGTCGCCCAAATCAAAGAGAAAGTGCTCTCCAACTATAAACCCAAGACAAGTCGAAGGGGTTTGGAATAAGCACGGCCCGATCCCACGACACGGTTCGGGAGTCAGGCACTAAGAGCCCGATGTGTTGTGTTTACTGGCTGAGCCATTTTGTAAAGCTACATTGGGGAGATGCATCTTCTCTCTCCCCCCCCCCCCCCATATACACACAGTGTCCTCTTCTCCCCGGGAAAAAAAGGAGGTTGCAGTTGTTTTTGGTAACGGGGCAGGGCGAGACAGAGGGCTGGAGGCAAGAAACGGAAGCATCTCTAGATACCAGGGACGAGAGGGAGGGGGAGAGAGAGAGGGGGAGAGGGAGGGAGAGAGAGAGAGAGAGAGGGAAAGGGAGAGGGAGAGAGAGGGAGAGGGAGAGAGAGAGAGGGAGAGGGACGGAGAAGGAGAGAGGGACGGAGAGAGAGAGGGAGAGGGAGGGAGGAAGGGAGAGAAAGAGGGAAAGGGAGAGAGAGAGGGAGAGGGAGAGGGAGAGAGAGAAGCCACCATTTCCTTCTCTGGGCGCAAGAGTGCGCCCTTGAGGATATCTATCTATCCAAGTGATGTGGGGGGGGGGAGGAAAGCCTTTAGTATCAACTCCAAAGAATCCTTCCACGGATTTAAGATTTTTTTTTCCATCTCCTTCCCACCCAGGACACGGAGAAAACACAGGGATGCTGAGAAAAGTTGAGGCTTCCTTGGGATTTAAAGGAAGGGCAAGTGGGGCAAGAGGAAGGGGTACCAGCTCCAGAGCAACCTTCTCCAGCCCTAGAAACACTGTGCAGGGGGCTAGTCCCACCTGAGGTTCAACAGGGCTTCCCTTCAAGTCCCAGAAAAATCGGTACTCTCCGGGGGTGGGGGGGAGCGAGATAAGTGGCATTAAACTTAAGGAGACTTCTTTATGAGATGTGCCCCGAAACAGGACAGCCAGAAGGAGGAGAGAGAGAGAGAGAGAGAGAGGTGTGTGAGAGCAATTCATGCACCTAGAAACTGATCTGGTGGCTAAGAAGATGTCTCGAGTGGGGGCTGAGATGCAAGAACCGCAAGACAACCTGTTTCTCACCCTCCCTCCGGCTCTGCCAACCTGCTGCCAGCTCGACCAGCTTCCTCCCTCCCTCCCTCCCCCTCCCCCCTCCCTCCCTCTCTTTCTCTCTCTCTCTCTCACTCTCATTCTCTCTAATTCTCTCTCTCCCTCTCCCTCTCTCCCCTCCCTCTCTTTCTCTCTCTGTGTCTCTCACTCTCATTCTCTCTGATTCTCTCTCTCTCCCTCTCTCCCCTCCCTCTCTTTCTCTCTCTGTGTCTCTCACTCTCATTCTCTCTGATTCTCTCTCTCTCTCTCCCTCTCTCTCTCTCCCTCCCTCCCTCTCTCTGTGTCTCTCTCACTCTCATTCTCTCTGATTCTCTCTCTCTCTCCCTCTCTTCCTCCCTCCCTCCCTCTCTTTCTCTCTGTCTCTCTCTCACTCTCATTCCCTCTGATTTTCTCTCTCTCCCTCTCTCTCCCCTCCCTCTCTTTCTCTCTGTGTCTCTCTCACTCTCATTCTCTGATTCTCTCTCTCTCTCTCTCTCTCTCTCTCTCTCCCTCCTTTCCTGGAGGAGATCCACCCGTCACCCCCACCTCAGAAGGGGAGACAATTTCTCTCCTTGATCTCTGCCGACCGCTGGAAGCCCCGGGAGGAATGGAACAGCTGGCTTCCGATCTGCTCCTCCAAAAGGGGGAAAGGACCCCGTACATCCTCTATTCCCCCCCGCCCCACACACACACAAACACACACTCGGGAGAGACCCTCGCTAAGCCAAGCGGGATCCCTTACACCCATCGATGTTGATGGATGCGGGGGTCTCTGGTCCCGACCTTCTGATCGGATGAAGCGGGGTTGCTCGCCGCTGGGCTCCCCCCTCCCCATCCCCTGGAGAGACCCCTTCGCGCAGAAGACAATACCCCCCCAAAAAAAGAGACAGAGAGAGAGAGAGAAATGAGCCCCACTTACAACTCCCCGCGCCAGCTCCTCGGCGGTGGGGGTGGGGGCGGCCAAGGTCCGCCGCGTCGCCAAGCAAAAGGCGAGCATCAGAAACATCTCCTGGGGGGGCAGGCAGGGCCGGGGCCAACAGCTGCCCAACATCCCTTTCAGTCGTCTTCCACCACCGACGCCGCCCGCAGCCGCGGAGCCGCCGAGGAAGGCTGAGGAAGACGCCGGGCGCCGCCGGCGATCCGCAAAGGGGAAGAGGCGGAGGGCGACATCCGCGTTTCAGCGCTGCCGGCGGGGACTGTCGCCGGGGGGAAAGCCGCTCCCCTCGCAGCAGCAGCAGCAGAAGAAGCAGCAGCAACAGCAGCAGCCCCCTCCTCTCCAGCCCCCGCGCGTCCTCAAGAAGATGAGGAGGGGGTCCGGAGAGGGGGGGCGCAGTGGCAGAAGCTCCTGCGGGGGTGGGGAGTTTTTTTGGGGGGGGTCGTCGGCTCAGCTGTGCCCGGAGGAACCCGCGTCCAGAGATCCGAGGAGTGGGCTCCAACCCTCGGTGTCGGTTCCAACTTTTCTGGCGCAACCGGTGCGCCCGGCAAGCAGGCAGGCAAGGCAGGCAAGCAACAATCGAGGACCAAAGGCTCTCGGGCGCTCCAAGAAGCGTCTCAGAGTTCTGGGAGCTGTGAAGAATCCGTCGCTTGGCTCTGGATCGCGCCGGGCGGGGAGCGTCCCCCCCACTCACTCCTTCCCCAGCTGGGGCTGGGCGTCGCGCTCCGACAGCTGCCCAAAAAAAGGAAGAAGAAAAAGCGCGCAGTCGCCACCCAGCAACACCGAGACGCAGCCGCCGGGTCAGTGAAGAGAGAGCGCAGCTGAGCCCGGAGAAGTCCTTTTCGGTCGCGGCAACGGCAAAGCTTTGCGAAAGGAGGGCGGAGCGGGGGCGGCTGGAAAGGGAGGGGGGGGTCTTGGAGGCGTCGCCTTGGAGGGCCGGCCGGGGCGCTGGCGAGCGGGGAGGCGCGCTCCCCGGCTCGGGCACGGAGCTCCCTCCCGCGCGCGTCAAGACGCAGCGCAGCAGCGAGCTGGGGATGGAGGATTCCGCGTGGCCGGGACACGGGTTGTGCCTCTGGAGAGGTTGGGGGGCTGGAGGAAGAGGAGAGGAGGAAGAGGAGGGGGGTTCTGCGAGAACTAGACTGGGTCAGGGAGAGAGCCAAGGAGATGCTCCGAGGGTCCCAGAGGCGCATCTCCTTGCCTGGCTTCAGGGGACGGGATCTTATGGAAGCGCCTGGTCCTTGTCCCGACTTCGGAGCGCTCTCTCCCTCCCGTTGGAGATTCTCAGTCCTTCAGGTCAGGATGCTTTTTTCCCCCAAGACTTTCTGTTTTTCTTTGAAGACCTTTCGCTTCTCATCCAAGAAGCTTCTTCAGCTCTGACTGGATAATGGGGAATGGAAGGATTGATACTCCTTGCAGACAGCTGGTCATTTGCATCCTTTTAGAGCGCTGGCTGGGGGGGTTCTGGGAGTTGAAGTCCACCCATCTTCAAGCTTCCAAGGTTGAGAAACACTGTTTTAGAGAGTCCTTGAAGCGCTTGAAGGTTTATCTGTGTCCTCAGGATCACCTGAGTGGTGCAAATGGTTCCTGCAGTCTGCAATATTTTTCCTCTGGAAATCCATTCCTACTCCCACACCGTTCCAAGGGGGTTCATCCCAAATTGCATAGCTAAAAGTCTGTAGAGATTCTCAATCATCCAAGTCACCGTTGTCCCAAAGCAGGGATGAAATTCAGCAGGTTCTGACCGGTTCTGGAGAACCGGTAGCGGAAATTTTGAGTAGTTGACTGACTGGATGGTGGGGAACGGAAGGATTTATATTCCTTGCAGACAGCTGGTCGTTTGCATCCTTTTAGAGGGTCGTTGAAGCCCTTGGAGGCTTATCTGTGTCCTCAGAGTCACCTGAGTGGTGCAAACAGTTCCTGTAGTCTGCCATTTTTTTCCCCTCTGGAAATCCATTCCTCCTCCCACACCATTCAAAGGGTCTTCATCCCAAATTGCATAGCTAAAAGTCTGTAGAGATTCTCAGTCCTCCAGGTCCTGGTTGTCCCAAAGGGGCTTTTTCAAGAGGCAACTGGACTTTCTTGTTTTTTCTTTGAAGACGTTTCCCTTCTCATCCAAGAAGCTTCTTCAGCTCTGGCTGGATGGTGGGGAATGGAAGGATTGATGCTCCTTGCAGACAGCTGGTCATTTGCATCCTTTGAGAGGGTCGTTGAGGCCACTTGGAGTTTTATCTGTGTCCTCAGGGTCACCTGAGTGGTGCAAATGGGTGGGGAGCCTTCTTGGAACGCAGTTGAAAGGACGGTGTTGTAGATGGATGCGTTGTAGAATGGAGATAATGATGTCGTATCCCATTAGAAGAGACTCCGCCTGCATGCAGCAAGCCAATGGGGTGGAGGGGTGGGGTGGCGAGGGAGGGGGCGGGGGGCGATTCCCCCCTGTTCTTTGCATCACAGTTTTCCATCATCAGCATCCTCTTCGTCATCATCAGTCATGGGAATGTTACTACTCGGAGACACTGCAAAAGTCCCTTCTCCCTGCGGTCTCGCAAAACCAAAAGCCAACCACAATTCACACATAAACACACACATCATAAAGGCATACCTGCAGAGAAAGATAAATCGCTATTTTTTTTTAAAGGTAAAGATAAAGGGTTCCCCTCGCACATATGTGCTAGTCGTTCCTGACTCTAGGGGATTGTGCTCATCTCCGTTTCAAACCGAAGAGCCAGCGCTGTCCGAAGACGTCTCCGTGGTCATGTGGCCGGCATGACTCAATGCCAAAGGGGCACAGAACGCTGTTCCCTTCCCACCAAAGGTGGTCCCTATTTTTCTACTTGCCTTTTTTACGTGTTTTCGAACTGCTAGGTTGGCAGAAGCTGGGACAAGTCACGGGAGCTCACCCCGTTACGCAGCATTAGGGATTCAAACCGCTGAACTGCTGACCTTTCGATCGACAAGCTCAGCATCTTAGCCACTGAGCCACTGCGTCGATAGATAGATAGATAGATAGATAGATAGATAGATAGATAGATAGATCTAGATGGATGGATAGATGGATGGACGGACATAATTGCAGAAAAGAGAGCTGGAGAGAGAGACAGATGTATATGAATAGAGATAGATAGATAGATAGATAGATAGATAGATAGATAGATAGATAGAGAAAGGTTCCCCTGGCACATATGTGCTAGTTGTTCCTGACTCTAGGGGACGGTGCTCATCTCCGTTTCAAACCGAAGAGCCAGTGCTGTCTGGTGGTCCCTATTTTTCTACTTGCCTTTTTTACCTGCTTTCGAACTGCTAGGTTGGCAGAAGCTGGGACAAGTCACGGAAGCTCATCCCGTTACGCGGCACTAGGGATTCGAACCACTGAACTGCCAACTTTTCGATCGACAAGCTCAGCATCTTAGCCACTGAGCCACCGTGTCCCTTAAAAAGAGAGTTTAAGCAACCATTAAAATGCAGCTTGTGGAAACTACCAGCCTGGGAAACTAGGCAAAGAGAAACTGGCAAGGAAAAAGTCAGATAAAGAGATGGAGTTGCAGCTGGGACCCTCCCTAGTTTCTCAGGCTGTAAAGGAGGTGGGTGTATGAGAAAGACCCTGAGAAACAGGGTGGGGAGATGGAGTTTAGGGCAGGGGTCCCCAACCTCTGGGCCTCGGCCCATTAGATTATTAGGAAGCTCACTGGGGCAAAAAAACCCATTAAAAATAGTCTTATTTTTGGGATTCTTGAAATCAAAATTCTCGATTTCAAAATCTTTCTCACTCTTTCGATGAAGGATGGAGAAAATTGGATCTGCAGACCGATTGCAGCTCATAATTGATTTATGAGCTTTGTTTAAATCATCTTTTTTTTATTTATTATTCATATTCTGCCTTTTATTATTTTTACAAATAACTCCAAACAACCCTGTGAGGTGGGTTGAGCTGAGAGAGAGGGGGACTGGTCCAAGGGCACCCAATCAGCTTTCATGCCTAAAGTGGGACTAGAACTTCCAGTCTCCTGGTGATTGGCCCAAAGTCACCCAATTGGCTTCCATGCCTAAGGAGTGACTAGAACTCACCCTCTCCTGGTGATTGGCCCAAAGTCACCCAATTGGCTTTCATGCCTAAGGTGGGACTAGAACTCACCCTCTCCTGGTGATTGGCCCAAAGTCACCCAATTGGCTTCCGTGCCTAAGGAGTGACTAGAACTCACCCTCTCCTGGTGATTGGCCCAAAGTCACCCAATTTGGCTTCCTGCCTAAGGCGGGACTGCAATTCACTGTTTCCTGATATCTAGCTGGTGCCTTTACCACTAGACTAAAGTAGTGGTAGGGGCGGAGCTTAATGTAGAAGCACAGTTGTTCCTCCTTTAAAGCTCCGCCTCCTGCTAAATCAAGCTCTTGAATTCTCCATCCCGACCTTTTGCATTTTCTGAAACCTGTATGATTCCTCAGTCAATAGGATATTTTTATTTTTATTGATTCACTTCGGTATTTATCTCTCACCTTGCCGTGACGATGCATAAGGGAGCCTCACAGGTTTTTTTTAAAGAAAAGCAAAATTAAAATACAACTCTGTCAATAAAACAGGAGGCACGGCACAGCCATTGAATAGCCCCATAAAACATATTCCACAAACAGCACATACAGTATTCCACAAATAAAATATAACCTGAGCAGCTCTAAATAAGAAGACGGGAGTGGGGTGGTGGGGGAATGGTTAGAATAAAATATGTTGAGGGTGCAGCCAAGAACCAAGCAGCCTGTGGAGTCTCTGTCTTGTGTGTGTGCATAAAGACTCTGATATTGTCACTTGTCAGATGAAGAGAAGGAGCAAGAGGCACAAGAGCTGGGACTTGAAAAGGGAGAAGAATAGAATAGAATAGAATAGAATAGAATAGAATAGAATAGAATAGAATAGAATAGAATAGAATAGAATAGAATAGGAGGAGAAGGAGAAGGAGGAGAAGAAAAGAAGGAAGGAGAATAGAATAAGATTAAAATTAATTAGAATAGAATAAGATTATAATTAATTAGAATAGAATAGAATAGGATGGGATTGGGATAGGATAGGATAGGATAGGATAGGATAGGATAGGAGGATAGGATAGGACAGGACAGGACAGGACAGGACAGGACAGGACTGGATTAGAATAGAATAGAATAGAATAGAATAGAATAGAATAGAATAATAGAATAGAATAGAATAGAATAGAATAGAATAGAATAGAATAGAATTCTTGATTGGCCAAGTGTGATTGGACACACAAGGAATTTGTGTGAGAAGAGAAGAGAAGAGAAGGAGAAGGAGAAGGAGAAGGAGAAGGAGAAGGAGAAGGAGGAGAAGGAAAGAGAATAGAATAAGATTAAAATTAATTAGAATAGAATAAGATTAGAATTAATTAGAATACAATAGGATGGGATTGGGATAGGATAGGATAGGATAGGATAGGATAGGATAGGATAGGACAGGACAGGACAGGACAGGACAGGACAGGACAGGACTGGACAGGACTGGATTAGAATAGAATAGAATAGAATAGAATAGAATAGAATAGAATAGAATAGAATAGAATAGAGGAGTAGGAGGAAGGAAGGAAGGAAGGAAGGAAGGAAGGAAGGAAGGAAGGAATAGTAGAATAGAATAGAATAGAATAGAATAGAATAGAATAGAATAGAATAGAATAGAGGAGGAGGAGGAGGGAGTAAGGAAAAATAGAGTAGAGTAGAATGGGGAGGAGGAGGAGGAAGAAGGAAGGAAGGAAGAATAGAATTGAATATGAATAGAGGAGAGGAGAGGAGAATAGGTGGAGGCGGAGGAGGAAGGAAGGAAGAATAGAAGATGAATAGAATAGAATAGAATA